ATTAGATTTGTTTAGGCTTTTACAAAACCCCGTAGGATTTACTTATATTTTTCAAATGTTGCCAGAAAATCTTAAAAGTTCTCTAAACTTACAACTATTTTCAAGTTGCTTCTGTCTGTTTTCTGTCGGAGGTTTAATGTCTTCTAAACGAGTTACTGCATCAGTGCGGCGTGGCATGGAGGCGATCAGCCCCTGCTCTGCAGAATGTAATGGAAACCCAGGTTGCCTTAAGAGTGACCTTCTTACATTGACAATTCTCTGAAGATGATTGTGTCAGAGCAGTTTTCTGGCCAATCTAGCGCAGCAACACTGTGGTCATTGAACCAGCTTTTGGGATCTTTGGCAGAAGTACTTGGCAGATGCCAAGTACTACTGGAAAATGAAATCAGAAACGCCATAAAGCTTATCGTCAGAAGGAAGCATGAAGTGCTCTAAAGTCCAAATCAAAGTTGGAATCTGAAATTATATGAAGGGTTTTCCTGAACACTGTGTAGGAGGCCTGGGTGTCGAGTTTCTGCATCGGTTTCTGTCAATATTTTGCCACTTAGTTTCTCTTCCTAATACCTCTTTATGATTCATCTATTAAGGTTACCTAAGAAAGTGCCATCATGTGGACAGACAAACAAAGAGGGATCAGAGTTTCCCAGGAGGAGCTGCTTTGTAAGAACGCCTGTGGGTATTATGGAAACCCAGCGTGGAAAGGCTTCTGCTCCAAGTGCTGGAGAGAGCGATCACGCCCACCTGGATCACAGACACAAGACACGAGGTGGACGATTTACTTTTAACACACCATCAGCTTTTCTGTTTCAAACATGATTCTGATGTATTATCCTCCTCGCAGACCCAGCAGCGATGGAGCGCCACCCACATTCTCCAAATTCGAGGAGAAAAAGAATATTGAGAAGGGTCGACGAATAAGCACAGTGAGGCGGCTGTTCTGGGGCAGCGCTTCACCTTCAAAACCCCAAGGTTAGTCTTCTAAGCTTTAGGGTTGACTGTATTCTCAATAAAATATAAAAATAATGGAATAACAACTTAAAGGTTATCAAGTTGTTACATGCCAGTCAACAGGTAGGTTGTTAGAATGATGTGTTCAGATTTTCCTCCTCGCATAGCGTTTTGCTGGTTGGTTATGTAGGTTAATATTGTTGTCATTAAAGTTTGTGGTTGTTTTGTTGGAAAACTCCTGCTCTTTCTAAACGAGCCTCAAAGTTGTTAGAGATGATCATTTGCAGTTTTGCAGAAATCTTTTGGATGATATTTTGACCTTGCATCCACTTTCCAGAGACCTCTGAAAGTCACACTAAGATGTTAAAAGCCTATGAGAGCCTTGAGCCTGGAGACTTCACCGGTTTTCTAAAGATCCTGCGGAGTCCATCTTCTCAGCGTCTGCAGTCCCGCTGCACAGCTTTCCTCAACACAATGGAGGCTTATCATGTAACTATGTCCACAACTATCTGTACTTACGGCTGCTTCCTTTTTGAAAAGTAACATCCTTATCAAAGCCTGGCACCATTTTCAGAATCTGCAAATACAGAAGCAGTCGGACCTTGTCCAGGATTTCTATCAGTCTTTTGCGGAATATTTTAGAAGTGAGTACAATTGTTGCAGTTTGTTCAGTTTGTTTTTTCTTAAATTTAGAAGAAAGATGTTTAGCAGTCTTTTTTTGTTTTCAGGCTTCCCAGAGAGTCAGGTCACTCAGATAATGGAGCATGTGGAGAAGCTTATAATGACTCGATTGCACAAATGGGTTTTCTGCCATGACAGCTGCGATGATGAACAGAAGGACCTGGCTCTTCAACGCCGAATACGGTAACTCCGTTAAAATATCAGTAACTCATCTACGAATGTAATTAGTGACATTCATCCCTTCTGCAGTTATAAACGGGGGGTTTCTTCACAGTCTGGAAAAAGTTTGAATTATGTTTCAGATTTTGATATGTTAACAAAGTAGAATACAGAAAAATATTTTATCTTTCCTCTTTCTCAGACCTCATTTTTTGCTAATTAAAATATAAACTAAAATTCTGTATTTTGATTCCTCATGCATAAAAAAGTGTGTGTGGAAATTTTAGTGAAGCCCTCAGTTGGATGATCTTTACATCAACCTATTCATTTGTGTTTTTTCCTCTACATACATGAAACTAGGGTGCAAAGTCTGAAGTTTAAAAATGTGTATATTTTTAACTGGTAATTTTGTAGAACATTTTAAACATTGGCCCTCAAATCTTGATTCTCATTGATAATTTTCCTTTTCAGCTCCCTAAATTGGGTCACGCCACAGATGCTGAGTGTACCTTTTCCGGATGAAGACACCCCAGTCACAGGCGACCCCTTCCTGCCTGCCATCACAGGTGATTTACCTCATTTATTGTGGACATTTGGAAGCTTTCAGTCTTTAACTAACTTGAATAAAAGTGTCGTCCATCTCTTTGCTTAACTATTTAAATGTCCCAACATTAAGCAGACATCTGAATGCATTGAAATAATTTGATATGCCATGGTTCTCAAAATGTGTTACAAGGAATTCTCAGAGGAATCCCTTGTACCACAATTGTTTCAAATTGTTCCAACAATTTGAAACAATTTAGTAAATTAATAACTAAACTAATGTGGAGCCGATCAACCAAATAGTTTTAGTTAATATTTTTTTCTAGAGTCAACACAATTTTTTTTTTAAGTCCAACATATTGTGGCAGATATGGTTTGAAATATCTTGTTATAAAATGCTCGAGAATCAGGGTTTTAAAATATTGTCACGGTTTATTTATCTTTTTTTTTTCCCTTTTAATCAGCCATAATAGAAATGGATGCCAAGCGAGCGCCACAGGACAAGCTGGCCTGTGTGTCAAAGTGCAGTCAACACATTTTTGAAGCGCTGTCCACCTCCAACAATGAGCCTGCAAACGCGGATGACTTCCTGACGAGCCTGGTGTATGTGGTGCTGAAAGCCAACCCGCCTCGCCTCCACTCCAACATGCAGTATATGATTCGTTTTGGCCTCCCTCACAGCCTCATGGCTGGAGAGAGCGGCTACTATTTCACAAACTTGGTAAGTTGTGTTTGAAAGCGCTCATCCTTCATGCACCGCGGAGTTGGGGAGATAACCCAAGCTTGTCATTGTCCTCTGCTTCAGTCCTGTGCAGTGGCTTTCATTGAGAAGCTGGATGGACCAGCACTCAACCTCAGTCCTGAGCAGTTTGATGGCTACATGCGAGGTCAGCGCGCTCCTGCTACACTAAGGAGGCAGCAGAAGGCCAACAACACCCAGAAACTGCTGGAAGAGCTGCAAGGAAGGCAGGAGAAGCTGCACCAAGGTGTGAATGCTCTGAACATGCAGCTGCAGAAGTGGGGCGAAGTAGTTAATTCCCAGCTGGATGAGATAACCAGGCAGTTCGATAAGGTACAGAAGGTGATAACAGCTCAGATGGAGGCCTCTGAGGTCGGGACCTCTTCAGCTGAGGATGGATCCCAACAGAAGGAGGAGGAACAGCAGCCAGAGTGTGAAGCTCTAAAAGAAACGGTCTGATAGGCCACCAGAGGCATCAGAACCCCCTGGTGCCATACCTCATGATCAGCACTAACAGACGAACGCTGCTGGACAAAGGAAACCTACATTCCAAATTTGCACAAGTTTCCAAGCAAAGAGACGTGACTCATGAGCTGAAGAAATGAGAATGAAGGAAAACTTGAAGGAAACTTGGGGCACATTTGTCCTGAAGCATCTGAAGGGCCAACATATCTTTATCAAGTTACTCTAATTTTAATGAGGTTATTGAAAACATTCCAGCTTAGTTTAAAAATATGTACTAACACACAGGCACTTCTAACACAACATTCAAAGGTGCTGAGCACAAAATATTTTCCCTTTTTGTCATGTACCGCAATGGCTTAATGGTGACAGGTCAAAATGTGAAGTAGTATCAACCACTACAAGTTTTCAAGGGGATGTTTGTGACAAAGGTTTCTCAGAGCTGTCTAACTTATAAAATGTTTTTCTTTACAATTTTGTGTAACACATTTCCATATGTGACGGTGTACAAAAGATGTTTACAGTTACTGATTTATGAAGAAAATTAAAGTTATATTTTTGTTCAATAATTGAATCAAATTATAGATTAAAGCAATTTGATTTACAGATTATGTGTGACTCATTTTCAGTTTTACCCTGGTTTGAAAGTTTTTTGCTATTATAAAGTTTTAAGTTTAGACTAACTGCAGAGCAGACAGCTGACCTGAGTTAGTCAGTTTTATGAACAAGATGCAGGTTTAAATTTGACTGAGAAAACAAAGGGAAACCATATTTGGATAAATCTCAATACTTTGTAAGAGGCCAAAGAGGAATTAAATTTGAAATGGGTGTTTGAACAAACACCATACAAAACAGAAAGTAAGCATAATTTAGTTTCATACCAACAAAGACTAATGTTACGGAGTAGACAGACGTACTCCTGAAGGAACCTTAACTATAATGGAAAACTTCCCAAGAAATGCACAGCAGCTGTGGAATGTAGTTCACAGCTGCTGTGGAACACCTGTGCACAGGTGACAAAAATCCGTCCACTCTACTGTAACCTAAACATGAGGCAGCTCTCATGCACTGTGGCAATGCTAAATATTACATTTTCAGAGACTCCCAGGAAAATTAAATTAAGCTAACCCCAGTTTCCACAGCAAGACTTTAAGTGTATAAAGAAAAATTGAGATGCTACTTTGAACGTCTAATATACCTTTCAGCTCACTTTCTGTGGAACATCATATCTGCTGATTAGCTCCAACAGAACCATCATGAAGACAGTTTTATTAAAAGACACACTAACTTTCCCCCAAATGTTATTTCAGCTCATTAAAGAATCGTGTGTCTTATTTACACGAGAGTAATGATAAAAATGTGCAAATGTATTATATTTTTCGCTTTCTGGAAGTAAAAAGGTTTTATATTTTGGTAGTATCTCCATTTGGACAGTTGGGGTCGCTGCACCGGAAGTAGCGTCGTAGGAACCCGGAAGAGAGATTGTTTAGCAGCCATGAAGATGACGGGAGAAAACAGAGCTGAGGGCTCTGAAGTAACAATGGATGACGTGAAGAACCTTATTAAAAAGAAAGATGAAATTGAAGAGCAGATAAAGGCTTACCACGACGTTTTAGAAGACGTGAGTTGGGCCCACACAAGGTGACGTTTTCTGGACCTGCGCGGCGCTGAACTTGTTTCTCCTGTTGTTTACAGCAAGGTGTCGGAGTTGAGGGTCCCCTGGTTGACGCTGAGGGTTATCCCCGAGCAGATGTTAATTTGTACACGATCAGGGACGCGAGGCACAATATTTCATGTAAGGAGGCGTTTGTCTTTGTGTTTCTCTATAAGCTGTTCCTGGGTGAACTACAGCCTTTGCAGTCATCTCACACGTTTTAGTTTACTTTTCATTCAGTCTTTCTGAGCTTGAACTACACTGTGCTGTCGAAAGTATTCGCTCATTTCTCCTCACGAACTTGAATGGCATCCTCATGCTTAATCCACATAATGTCATACCACCTTTTGCGGTTATAACACATTGTTCTGAGGTCAAACACTGATGTTTGACAAGAAGGTCTGATTTCTGTGCAGACAGTGAAGTTCGTCCACACTCGTCTCTCTCTTAATGGACCTTGCTTTGTGCATTGGTACCTGGCCTCACACTCCAATCCCCTTTGCTCCAAACTTTGCATGTGACATGAAGCAGTCAGACAGGTGTTGTTCTCTTGGAAACAGCCAACAGAGTTGTCTATTGCATTGCCAGACGGAGGGAAATGATTAATCAGTTTAGAGATCAGATCTCCACTGTTGTAGATTCTGGTGCCAATGTGCTTTGCACAACTCCATCTGACGCTTTGCATTGCGCTGGTGATGTAATGCTTGGGTATAGCTTCACAGTCATCCATCAAGCTAATGTGAGGAACATAAAAGTTTGAAATTCTGCAGCTATTTATGCTACAGAAAGTTGGTGAACTCTTTGCAGATCTGGTGTTTTATGCAGCTCAGACTGCTGGCCCCATGCTGTGATTTAGCCAAACACGAAGAGACTTGCTTATTGTTTCCAATCACTTCCACTTTCTTATAGTACCACTAACAGTTAACTTGCAGAACATTTAGGAACAAGAACATTTTACAACCTGACCTATTTTATAGATGACATCATCCCAACAGGCTACACAGGAAGAGACTGAAACTCATACATTCAATTATTTAAATGGGTGGATAAATATCTTTGTCAATATTGTGAACTTTACAAAGAAGAGGGGACAGAGATATCAATCTTGAGATGTACATAGCTATAATTAAGAGAAAAAGTCATTGTTTTCAGACTTTTATTTGTAAAAAAAAAAAAAAAAAGATGTACTATTTTGTGTTGGGCTGTCACATAAAATTACAAAAAGTTTCTCGTAGGACAATTCAAACGGAGAACTTTTGCAAGGCTCTTCAAATAATATAAGTGACCCTCCTGTTTGAAACTCTTTCCCATGTGAAACTAGAATACTACTAGCTAGAATACAATGGTTGGTTAGGTGTCAGTTTTGCTGCTTGGCTTTCTCTTTTAAAAGAGAACATTATTATTCTTCACGACACTTCAACTGTCATGTTTATTCTTGCATTTAACCTATTAGGTTTTTGTTCTGTTTGTGTTTCAGGCCTACAAAATGACCACAAAGCCATCATGGCAGAGATAGAAGAAGCTCTGCACAAGCTCCACGCTAGAGAGAAAGCCAAGCGGGAAAGAGACGAGGCAGAAAGCCAGGAGGAGCTGATGGAGGAGCAGGCCACCCTGCCTCCTCCCTTTGCTCGAGTGGATGCTGTCACATTCGGCTCACCTGCTTCTGGAGCTGTGAGGAACATTTTCTCTGCTCTTTAACGTAGTAAAACCTTCAGATAAATCAACATTTATGCTGACATTCATGTGTAACGCTTTAATTTCTTTGAATATGATTGTTTTGTTTTTTTTTCTCACAGGGGCTCAAAGTAGGAGATGAAGTCATTGAGTTTGGCTCTGTGAACACAAACAACTTTCAGAACCTGCAGAATATTGCTGCAGTGGTGCAACACAGTGAAGGAGTAAGTTTAGTTTGATTTCACTTGTTTATATTGAAAAATAAATTGTTTTAAGTACTAATGATCTTGCATTAGTAAGATCATTAGAACACGTGAGTTGGGCCCACACTCACGTCTGAATTACTAAGCTAAGAGACTAGCTTAGCAATTCAGTTTTCATGTTTTATTTTACTTTACTTTCAAAAACAATGTAAATTTGATTGCTTTTACCATGATTGTAATTTCTGAACATGCCTATCAGCCGATGTAAACAGCAGCATAATGTTCGTTGTCAGAAACCTTTACGGGTCGCTGTGATCAGAGATGGCCAAAAGGTTCAGATGAGCCTGACTCCACAGCGGTGGTCCGGCAGGGGCCTGCTAGGGTGAGTGCACAAAGCGACACAAAACTGTCCTTCTCTCATTTGTAGGCAGCAGAAGCAGTTTGTGAATCTATTTGTTATTAGAGTAACTGTTAACACTACAGTTATTGTATTTTTCTTTTCCAGGTGTAACATTGTTCCAGTCCAGCGATAATCCACACAACCGTATTCCAGATTTAAACCCGTGTATCTCCTGAGTGTTTTCTACTCTGTACAGTTGGGATCTATTTCCATTTTTCAGTTTCCTAATGAAAATCTTGAACACTTTCTCCATACAATGACTAAGAATGGAATATGTCAAAGTTCAAGTGCTGCAGCAAAGGGGGTCACACTGAAACTATGATTAAGGTCTGCATACATTCTTCTGCACAAGTTTAAAGAGACCTGCTTTTGGATTGAAGTTTCTTTTCTCTCGGGAGGATGAAAGATGGTCATGGTTATTAAAGATGGGATGCTTTAGGCAGTAATTCTTATTTTTCTGGTTGAATAAATAGTTTCCTTGAAGAAAACAAGTGAGAAACATTTTGACTTGTATGAAGTGATGATTTTTTGCAATAAATACATTTTATTCAATCTCATGGGACAGACTCATAAAAAAATATTTAAAATTAAATGAGGGTGTGTTAATTGATAAACTACTGCAGTTATGCTTTTATGGCCAGATATACATTTTTAGAAATACCAGTAACAAGTTTATACAGAGATGATGTATAACAGGTTGTTGTTTGGCATGATTCCTTGTGAAGTTATGTAGGAAATTCACATATTATTGTGGATGGGTTTATATAGGGTATTTTATATTGGTGAACTTACAGTGAATCAGCTCTTGGTGGAGATTTATTTTTTTCAGTCGTAAATTTGACAAAGCAGAAGAGACTAAATTCAAAAACACAATTTCCGTAGCAATGAGACTGAAGAGCTTCTTCTGCAGATTAAATTGTTAAAATCAATTATAGAAACAAGGCTTTGAAATCCAGAAATGTCCATTAAAACACTCCGTGTTATCTTTTACTGTTTTTTTCTTGCTTTCCAGAGACAGGAAGAATAAGAAGAATCTTCCACATGTTTGTCCTGACAAGGGTTTCCAGGAAATCTTTGCTTTAACAGCAAATACATTTTACCCAGGGGGTTTCAGTAACGAGGTCTGTAGATACATTTGGATCAGGGGCTTCATCTCAAAAACAGATTTGCCTAAATGGCAGTGACAGGAAATCAAAACAGTCATCAAGCTGCTTGCTTCAATTTCTTCTTTTTAGGTTTGACCATCTGAGGTAGCTGGATTTTAAAGGCCGTCCTAAGAACAAACAGATTTTTAATCATTACCGCCAAGCAAGCTATAAAGTAAATCTATACATTTTACCTGACAATATGGTAAAGTCAAAGTAACAGACTTACTCGCATGTTGTACAAATAGGGCTGAAGTTGCAGAATACTTGGAAGCAAACAAGAGAACAATCATCACCACAGATAGATCATTGTGTCTTTGAAATGCACTTGACGGCATGCAGTACTCACTCGACAGACAAACGGAGCAGACGTAACCGATTTCGATGAGGTTACGGTGGCAGAAACAAGCAGCTCTGTAGTCCACGTGGGCAGGCGGCGGCAGCACCAGCTGGGAGCGCTGCTCCGAGTCGGGCAGGAACACCCACTGTTCCCGAAACACACACATACTGACTCTACCTTCAAACTGCAGCCATTGTAAACCAAAGCAAGCAGCAGAAACACTCACCAGAAGATACTGAGCCAGGGCGACTTTCTGCGGTATCTTCAGGTACAAGCCTCCTGTTATGTCACAAGCCTGAAACACAAACATCACTCCTGGTGGCACCACTTTCTGTTTTAATATCCACTGACTGATATTTTGTCAGTCATTTATTACACCTTCACACTAGCAATGCTACGTTAATAAGCTTGTATCACAGCAGCAAAGATGTACCTGCTGAAGCAGCCCTGAGTCTGAGTCCAGCACACATGCATCTATCAGAATGTTCTGGCAAAAATATGAACGGAGGAGTTGTTTAATCAATCGAAAAGACACATTCGTGAAAGTCTAGAGCTGAGAGATTTTGTTTTACCTGCTTTTGTGCAGCAAAAATAACATTCATGAAGTTCATGTACTGGAGAGCGCAGTCATCAGCTGCTTTTATCACCTAACCAAGACGAGCAAAACAAAACATTAGTCTCAAACAGAGACAGTGATTTCACATCTTCACCATTTTGTCCTTGTGCAGGATCATCCATTAAGACATGGTATTTATTAACCATTACTGCTTTTGGGAAGCAAAGTATGACAACCAATTTAGAACTGATTCAGAACAACAATCAATAAAAACAGGGTGAAACATAGAGCTTCATGAATAAATGATGTAGGATTTTAGCTGTTTATGAGCTACATATTATTCATATAAATCCTGTTTTTTTTAGTAACTACACAATTACTGATTGTGTTGTTCTTCTCTGTTTGAGTTCTCACTTGTTACTCTAGCTTCCTTCTACTGTCCAAAATCAACAGGTTGGTCCACACACACAAGTGGGTGTGTGTGGTTGTGTATCTCAGTGTTCCTGTGACAGACTGGAAACTTGTTCGGTGTGTACACTATCTGCAGCTTAATGAACACTGCAGATAAAAAGCACCACACCTTCTGATTGCTGGATATTTCTAGTACTTTTTAATGCTACAATTAATCAAAATTTGTAACCAGCTAAAACAAAAAACCCTAATCTGTTAAGTTCATAGGTAAAAAATAGCATGGGAGTACCAACAGCTGAACTGACCAGGACAAACTAAACCAAGTGAGGAATTAAATAAGATCTTACCAATATCCTTGACTTCATCTCCTGTCCAACTAAAAAAAAAAAGTAAAATGCAACTTTGTGGTTTCTAATATAAGAAAATAATGAAACAAAAGGAGAGGCAGTCTAATCTGACTTTACCTTCTAACTCTTTTGAGACCCTGTGAATATCTGAATGTGACACCTTAAGGACAATCAGCAAAACAGCTCACACATACTAATTTACATGTGTGACCCAATGATTTCTTCTGACCCAATGAGCAAAGCAAAGCTGAATCAGTCATAAAACATCATGACTGTAATGACATACAAATAATTCACTTTTTGTTAGCTGAACCAATTTCCTGAACACTGAATTATCAAAGACGTTTCACTGAAAGGATACAGCAGAGGGCTTTGGCAAGAGATCCTGCCAACAGGGTGTCAGTTGAATTCCCTGTCACTTCAGCTGTAAGAAGAAGACACCCAGCAGTCACCAGTATGTTTAATAATGAATCATTAAATAGCTGAAAATAATATTAAACAAAAGGTACTAACCAACCAAATCTGAGTACCTTTTACATAAGCTTTAGTCACATGCTATAAAAAACTGTTTGTTTTTTTTTTTACCCACTTTTAGTCATAATATTCCTGATCTCTTCAGCAATGAGGTTGTTGGCGACAGCTAGAAGTTCGTATTTTCCATCCCGGCTGGAGGAAATTTCATCCCCACCACTGTCTCCACTTTTCCAAGTCTTACTGGGATACAAGAAGTGACTAGATGAAAGAGAAAAGTGATGAAAGGTATAAAATACTAAATATCCAGCATTTTAGTTTCAAACAATAAAAAAAAACATCAGCAGCAAAAAAAAAAAAGAAAAAAGAAAAACTAAATTGTCAGAATATAGGTTTAATGTAATCTCTGGATCAATTGTGGCAATAAGATCATATAAAAGCAAGGGTATGCAGAAGAATAAATAAATGTCCAAGCCAGTAAGAAAAAAAACTGGAGTTGCAATAAGTAGGCTTTTTTTTTTTACTAATATTAATACAGATTTTAATTGAATCTGGTATCATTTTTGCAAAGACACTTATTCATGCAAAAAAAAAAAGAAGTTATGTAGATCATTTAGGCAACAAAAACTGAAGGAATTACACAATTATGCTTGGGAATGGATGGATGGTTAGAGGGATGGATTGACTGGGAGGACAGGGTCAAATTTCAATTGCACAATTAATCCCAGAGGGAAGGTAAACAAAAGTTTCTTATAATATTGTGACCTGTGGTTACCTGTCTTGACAGTGACTGGCGATAACGGCAAGCCTGTTTGTCCTCGTCATTGCCATGTGGCAGTTTCCCATCACCATGACCGCATCCAGACACTTGCACAAAGTGAACTTAAAACATAGAAACACAGTGGACACCTTTCTCAGAGACAGCCAGACATTTGTCTTTAAATATTAGAATTGAACACAATTTTTCATAGATTGTTTGCCGACATAAATTACTTTATTTTTAAAGATAAAACCTCAAATGGACAATAGAAAAAGAGAAAATTGACTAATTTCAGGATCAGTGTTGTTCAGCACTAATCCTGGAAAACAAGATTGGTGGGAAACTTTGAATTATCAAATGTATTTCTTTTTGCTCTGCTCTTAACATGCCATATGAAAATAAACAATTTACCTAATCACTACTGAGTAGAAAATATGACAGAGATATCAGAAACAAAAAAGAAGAGGATACCTCTGGCTCCCGCTGACCTTGCTGACCCCACCAGATGGGATTCACATCAACCACGATGACCAGGAGATTCAATTCATCCTCTGCAAAAAAACATGACAAATATCAACCCGACGCAAAAGCAACGACCCAGCGTTACAACTGTCGAAAGCATAATGTTTGCCAATAAGGGACATATTATGAGCAGGACCGACCTGAAGCCATTTCGTTAAGTTTTTTGTTAGAAACCAAAGGAGAAAAGATCTTCTTTCTGCTTTATCTGCTGATAATTTCCATCTCTGATGAATTACAATATTAGCTGATGGGAGTATAAAATGTAGAAAATGTTGCTAACGTCTTATTTAGCAAAAGTTATCCGGGTTTGAGGGAAAAACTACTTAAACCTTCTTCGCTTCTCACAACACCCGCATCTTCTTCTTTTGTCTGTTAGACTGAAGAACGAGAGGCTCCTTGCTGCCACCTAGCGCCAGGATTAATTTTGCACAACAAATAAAGCTTTGAAGTTGAGAAAAAGGCTTTAAAAATAATAAAGATGTAAAAGTTAAATAAATAGGACAAAAAATTGATGGCATTTTAATGTTGTCTAATATAATCAAAACCATCTCTTATAAAAGAGATGCAATTTTTATTTGTTCAAATTGCATAGCTCTGCAGAGCTAAATTCTAGATGTCTGAATTCAAACATTTTAACCAATTTAAATTCTAATTGCAAGTTCCAGAAATCATCAAAACACACAAATGTAAAACAGCTTCTGGATATTACATTGCTTTTTGATACTTGGACTCACTGTGATAGAACAAAAGAGTATGTCCTTTATTGAAAGTGAGAAAATCTAGGTGTACTGGCAGAAAAATGACAGGCTAATGAAAGCATGCAGGTTCACAAAGGTGTAAAACATAAATAAATAAATAGAAATAAGAAACTGTACAGTAAGTGCAAAATTAAAACAGAAGAAATATCAGCAATAATTTTTTGTGATAAAAACAAATTATCCAAACTTCTGAAAAATCAGTGGTTAAAGAGTCATTTATGTGTTTGGCAAAATGTGCATTAGGAAAAAAAAAGCAAAACTCAGTTACCTTTAATAAGTAATTTAAACACACAAACAGGACCCACATTTTGGTAAATTGCTAAATGAATCCACCTTTTAAGGAGATAGTTTATTACAAATATAGACCTTTGCAGGCATAAAAACTCTATTTTCTCATTTACCAGAAAGGTTAGTCACCATTTTAATTGTGCTTATCTGCTTCTCTCCTTTTGCCCTTGACTAAGATAATGAAAAACCTCCTGAGATCAAAGTACAAAATGCATTTCATTAAACTTGATTTTCATACATTCACAGAAGTCCATAATGTAAACAGCTGAGAGTATTTAGGATGTCTTTCAGTACAAATACAGTTTTCCAAACACAACTTAGGTGAGCAATGTTGGAGTGGAAGTAAATGTTATAATACACAAACTGAAGGAAATATCTCTGAGGTGAAAGCATGCAGTAAGTACAACAAAATGTAGTCCAATAAAAATTTTGCTTATTTTTTACAGAAGCAAAGACATATTAAACAAATTAAAATTAAGGTTGTTGTACAAAATTATCAGTTTGTACTGACACAAGAGGTAAGAACATTGTCAAAATATCATTTGTACTTCTACATTACATTTTGTGGAACAATTGTTGGCAAGCTGTCCATATTACATAGATGTAAGATCTGTTTGTCATTTGAACATATCTCTTCTAATTAGCATGTTTATGGTTTCTGTATTCAAGTAAAAGCTTAAGGAAGAAAAATAAAACTGGAATATGTTAAGAAACTGTGTAAATTGTAATTAGTAAAATATCCTTGTTTGTTCTACATATTCAAGAGAAATACCTTAGGATTAACAGATTAAACTTTTTAAGAAGGCATCATTGGGTTTGATTGTAATGATTCAAAATCATTTGTTTTCATTCTGAAGCAAATTTGATCAATTTTCTGAAAGGTTTTTGTTTCTCCTTTGTTTGAACACCGTGAAATTTCAAAGAATAATTAGATAGAAGTAAAATGAGAAAATATTGACATAACATCAGAATAAAACAGAACGTTTAATAAATGTTTGTCTTTTTCCTATGCCTGCTGTTTGGGTTTCGGCAGTGCATCGATTGAAACAGTTCTGTATTTCTCAGTCTGGTAGACATCTGACTCGATGGCCTCGCGGGAATCATTCAGGGTAACATAAACATCCCCGCTAACTTCAGTGACTTTATGAATCCTTTGCTTGACTCCCTTGGAGCGCCACTGAGTCTTCAGTGGTCTGGTCATAGGATTGTCCACAGCTTGATAAAGTCCTTCACCTTCTGCCAGTGTGATCTTGTATTTGTGCCATGGACAAACAATGCACAGCCGTCCATTGAACTCCTAATGGAGAAGATTGGTACAACTGTAAAATTGGTATTACAATAAGAACTTAGTTTTCTACAACTAAAAAGCTATTTCACACAAAAAGAAGCTTCAATATGGTATATATTTAAATGTTGTAATGCACAGTGCTTAGCAAAAGTGAACAAAACCCTTGAGTCTACAGTCTGTGATGTCTGAAAACTTTGAATACTATTGCAAGGCAGAATAAAAGCAATGGAAAACCATTCACATCTACTATCAGGCATGATATGTTTCACTATAAAACAGAAAAAGCCCACCTCTATATCTCCATTCTGTAATAGACCACCAGCATCTGTCAAAAAGAAAAAAAGATGATGTTATTCCATGCAGTATGTCAACTGGGCATTCCCTTTCGACTATATGTCAAATCACACACAGGTCTCCTTTGCTCAGAGCTTACGGTAGCAACGCAGGTCCAATGCATAAAGCTCCCCCTTGTGGTACACCACAAGCACATCTCTGGATCCATCCACCCGCTTCATCACACGGCCAGCCTGAACAATATCTGCTTTCTTTCCAATAAAATGCATGTCAGGACAGGGGGAATAGGAGTTCTCCTCTGTAGATGACATCCTGATTGTACTGCTGTATAAAAAAAAAAACCACACACAATTTGTTTAACAGATCATTCACAAACCTTAAAAGGCAAGTCAGTTATAGAGTTATAAAGCATTAACATTTGTTCCAACAAGGTGATTCCCAAGTATTGGCTGAAACATTGACTTACAGAATTAGTGGATCATGCATCTGTGAGAGTCCAAGACGTCTTTAACCTGATTTTGTGATAATTATAAGTTTAAAAGGTTTCTATTTTGTGAAATAGGTACATTATCTCAATATCTGAAACAGTGAAATCTATTAAATATTTTGAACTGGAGAGTACAGGAACAAGAACATGCTCCCTGATACTCATTCCTGTGCCTAACTCCAAATGATTAGTTCAGTATCATTACTAGAAGTTGGTCTGGACCACAAGATACACTATTATCAGTATGGAAGGTAAAATCTGAGCAAAAAATGATCTGTACCAGGTTAGTTACTCATATATGAAGAAAATATCAATGGGCCACGAGTTTATCCTTGTGAAACAACTATAAGTTTGACGTAGTGCATTTATCTAAATTGCCTAGATAATTTACAGCTGCCCATTTGGAAAAAAAATAGAGGTTGACAAGAGGTTTTGTTTAGTCACAAAATGATCTTCACAGTACAGACTGTAGAGATACAACCAAAATCTCTCTCCACCAATGCTGTTTTTTTGTTAAAGGGCTGGGTGTGGTTAGAGCCAGTATTTACATCTACAGGAAGCCGCAAAAGGTTTACTGTAGCAGCAAACTGGAAACAGAAGATGCACCTAAAGTTTTAAAGAACTGAAATAACGACTGGTTTCTTTTCAGGGAGTGGTCAGTGGAGAACCAGGATGTTACATGGTGAGTTTTCCATGTAGTTTGTTTTGGTTCATTTGAGGCAAATAGTTATTTGAAATAAACTATAAAACACACACAATTTATATTTTAGACAAACATAATTAACCAACAGTTATTTTCTAATTATGGCTTTAAAATCATAGTTATTAGTAACAGACCCTCCACTTTAACAGTGAGTACCCCCTAAACTATGCCCATTTTATCCTCAGTACTACAGACATGTTGGCAACTCTTTCATGGTCTTTTGGAACCAACTTATTGATCTAAAGTAAAAAGGGAAGTAATAACTTATTATCTTTTCTCACCTGATCCCTTGAGTTGGCCTTTCTTATATTTCAAACTCATTCCTAGATCTGTGTTAATGAATATATCAATAACTTTAAAAAAAAAACTTTTTTCAAAGGTCTAGTACTGGAGTTAAAATGAATGCAATGCAGTTGAGATTCAAAGAAAAAATTAAAGGTCTCTACAACACAATGGAAAATACTCCTCAAAGCTATTTTGATACATAAATTAACTTAGATTTTTGGAAAGCAAGATCTGAAAATTACAGAGTTGCCCCTTCATACTAATCCATAAAGATGCATTCACTGTTGTTTTGCAGCCTTGCTATTGTTTGCCTGATATAGACAATAAATGAACCTACTGTGATTTGGCTCAGTCTCTGACTTAATAACCTTCAACTGGGTGCTGAAGGGACCAGGTCATGAACTCCAGGCAGCTTTAGTTAGAACTTCAAACTGCTGCCTGTGCAACGATTTACATTGACTCCTTATCTTACCAAAACTACGCGCAAGCAAACGTCAAACTTCTTTATCTTCACCCAGCAGGCTTACCCGAACATTTGGAGTCAACAAATAAAATGCAAACCACCACACGCCTATAACTAGCCAATATTTTGGTGCTACGTTTAATTACGTCCCCCAAGAAACAACAACGACGTGCCGCACTGAGACACATTCCCCCTGATCTTGTAGTCCTTATTTGTCACCCAAATTTCTGCAAAAGCTATAAAATGCAGATTTAATATTTTAATTCTGACATCATAAAAACCAGTAAATAAAGATTAGAAATATTTCGAAACATTTTCAAAATATTCTCAGCAAATTAAATATAGGTTTTGTAAATATGTATATTACACTGTTGCTGTTCTGTCTAATTCGGTTATCTTGTCTTACCAAATAAATGCTCGCTGTTTTTGTTTTTATAATATTTACAAATAATGCTTCATTGAGTTTTTTCTCTACCAAATTACTATAACTAAAATATGTGTGCAATAGTAAATAAAGTTTAATTAAAAAAAAGATAATTTATTTCTTAGCAGTTCTATTTTATCTTTATACAGTCCAGTTGGTTTATTAAAAAATAAAAAAAAATAAAATAAACACAGTAGCTTTACCTGTATTGCTTACTCCCAGTTGTACATTCAGTTGACCAGTGCTTTGAAATGGTTTGGTGTGTCGGCTTCTTAGTGGTTTAAGCCCCTGGCGGATTATCGCTGAGTGTTTTGCTGAACTGAGCGTTATTCGACCAGTTGTAGCTCTGAAAAGCCTGCCTTTATATTTAACAAGGTCTATTTTGACCAAGGCTGCGCTCCAGCAGGAAGAGAGGGCGCCGAACTGCTTCCGTCGTTATGGAGATTCAGTCTGTGTACGGAAACGTCAGGCAGGTTGCTACTTGGTGAAATATTAATGTCAGTTTAACGTCCGTTCTTAGCTTTCTGTGCTACTGAAAGATCTTGGGTAAGTATATATATTTATATAAATATAAATGGTTTTTTTCTTCTATGTTGTTTTAGGTTTTATGAGTTTTGCAGCCACCCAAATGACAGAAAACTGTGAAATGTTGAGTACAGTTTGTAAAGTGACACGGTCAAAAATGAACAGCAATAAATTATTTACCCTGTCATAAGAAAAAGAATTAGGGGTTCATTTTCAAAGTCATACTTTCACCACGTTATTCGTCCATTTATAAATGTCACAGCTTAAGACTAAATATTTAATTAGCTATCTAAATATTCATCTTCAAACTAAATATTTAGGTTGGAGCAGAATTTGAAGCTACATTATGTAGCTTGCTAACAGATAGCTAAACATTATTTAGCTTGCTAACTAAATGTTTAATGTGAAGATAAATATTTAGTTTGCAAACTAAAATTTTAGTTCAAAAATAAACTAAATATTTTGTTCGCTAACAATAATATTTAGGTTTCCAATTGTGTAGCTTACCAAGTAAATATTTACCTTGAAGCTAGATATCTAGATTGCTAACTAAGCATTTAGCTTGATAACTAAATAATAGCTAGAAACTTAATATGAATAATAATTTAGTTGTATTTAAGTTGCAAATGATAAATACCAACATTTCATCTGAATACCATTGAAGTCAGACCAGGTACTACCAATGGTACATCTTGTAGCACAGTTTAACAGCCATTCTGGCAACTAAACCAGCCGCCTTAAACAAGAATATTTAGGAAGTATTTTGTAGAAAGTATATAGATCCATATAAATACTACCTCTCTTAGATGCAAATCAATCCCCCTCAGCAGCAGTAACATCTCAATTGATTAACTGTTTTAAAAAATGAAGTTTATAAAGATTAGAGTTTTTCACTGTAGTAACACCATAAAGTAAAGAAGTGTCCAATAGGTCATGAGACTGATGCTTATCGGCATCTGCCTCATGATCTCAGATGTAGATACGCACCATCCCCCTTCGGTCCTTCAAAGATTAGGTATAAAAAACAGATGGAAGGTCTAATGATGTCCAAGTCACTGATTGTTGGAGACTGCATATCAGTCAGACTGGTTGCAGCTGTTAGCCAATGTACAGTAGAAGTCAACAGTTGATCAGCCGGTGTTTCTGCATCTGTCACGTTTGCCACTATGTAGAAATGTGTTGCGGCTGCACTGGTGCAGGCCCCAACTCTATCCTGCACCAGTGTCAGGTTTCAGCGTCATGCTGCTGCCCAATGCTGTACTTTCCAGTCAACAGAACATGCTGGTAGCAATGACAGCAGGAGAAACTGCTGGTCATCATTTTTACTGGACAGGACAGTGTTTTATATTGCTGCTGCTCTTGTTTCACTAATACATAATAATGCCCTTTGCATTCTATTTATTTTCTAGTTGACAGAAGCCAAGCTGACTTATTCACTTCTTTGACAAAGTGGAAGACCAAATAAAAAAAAAAAGCCATGGGAGAAATGACTGTTTGCCTGTACAATTGTCTATCGGCGGCTGGGCTTCAGCGTCATTATTCAAGGTAAGCAAACAGATCAGTCAAATCCTCATTGTTGCTTTGATTTTTCTAATGATACACTTATCTTTCTCTGTTTTTTGCCTTTTAGGTTCACCTTGATGGGTGTTTACCGGGCAGCTCATCTTTCCACACTGAGCATGGAGGACTACCCCCTCCTGGGAGTTTGCTCTATGGAGGACAGAGCTCGCCTTTTCCAGCTGGTCCAACTGGTTAAAAGCCTTGATCTAAGGAGCCTTAGAAATGACGATATTGGGATCTACAATGAGTGTGATTATGAAGAAGGCAATGAGCTATTTCCTGCTGATAGTAGCGACAGTCCAGATGGGTATGGAAACTCCAATGGAGATGTGAGAAGGGATAAGAATGAAAGTGGAGCTGTTTCTAGTGCATTCATTGATAGACCATCATATGTTCGCAGAAGGCTGGATTTCTCTACTGAAAACACAGACCAGAGATTGTGTTCTCATTTTGAAGACACCATGCATGTCTATGCAAGTCATAACAGGAATGATGATCCAGTTCATGAAAATGGATTAGCTACACCCATTCAATTGGGGCTTCACAGCAGAAAAGCTGTGATGTGTGACCTTCGACAAAGCAAAAACAGTAAGTTAAATAAGCGTAGCTGTTCATGTGATCCTCACAATGTACAAAGCATCAAGCTGCACGTCACACGGAAATCGTCAATGCTCAACTCTCACATCCGATTAGTACCAAAGAGTGAGACATTCAACAAATTGAATCCTCCCCCAGCAGCAGTAACATTGGAATCATTTATTAACAAACCATCAGCACAGAAAGACAAAACGACAATCTCCAGGAAGAAAAAGGGCCCTGCAGATGTTACCAAGCCCACGCCTGTTTATGAAGCAAAGAGAACAGCCGGCTACAACTATGGACTACCTTTGAGTCCTCCTCAGGCTGCAAAGTAAAGTGCTTTTCAGTTCTACTCTCATTGCTATATTTCTACACAACAAGATAACAATGGCCAGTTTCACTTAGCAAGAAAGTTGATATGCAAATGCCTATGCAAAAGTGTCCACATCCCTTTTCACCCATTTTGTATTTTTTTTGTGAGACGGACAACACAAAGTAGTGCATAATTCGAAAGTAATTAGTAACACTCATTTGTCAAATGGCCCCTGCTTAGTCAGTATCTTGTAGAATCAACTTTTGCTGCAATTACTGGTGTGGGACCTTTTGTATATGTTTTAGCATCTCCAGCTGAATTATTGTTGATTTTTTTTTGTATAAATAGCTTAGCTTTGTCAAATTGTTTGACAACAGTTATTTTAAAGTCACAGATTATCTAATTAATAGTCTGATAAAATTACACAAAAGAGGACTGTTATCGTTAATGCAACTTCTGAAGGCAATTTTATTCAAGGGTATCAGATCAAACTGGTCTGAAATCAAGTGGATTCCTCCGTTTTCAGATTTGAATTTGGACTAGTTTGTCTTGGTTCATTTTGTCAAATTCTATTAAATTACTTTAATGTTTGCGGTCATCAGAGGTATGAATACTTTTGCATGAACCTAAGAAATGTAATGACAGTATGATTTCTGGCTTTTGGAGCAGACATGGGGATGGACAACGGATCAGCGTGTGTGTGAGGAAACGACCTTTAACTCGAGCAGAGTGCAAAAGAGGAGAAGTAGATGTTGTGACAACTAAAAGTGGAGAGTGTATGGCGGTTGTGCACGAAAGCAAAGAAGCTGTGGATCTCACAGAGTACATATTACAGGTAGATATGCAGAAAGAGAAAAATTCTGATTCTTTCATTTTGTAATTCTAAAAAAAATATTTTTTATGCTTAATTTGTTCTGGTTCTCTGTTGTTTTGCAGCACAGGTATCATTTCGACCAGGTTTTTGGAGAGGAGAGCTCAAATGAAGAAGTCTATCTGAAAACAGCGTACCCTTTGGTACAGCACATGCTCAGTGGGTAGGTGTCTGCCGCTAAATTGCCATGCAAGGCATGTTTATTGGAGACAAGGCTCAATTACTACTGTGAAATGATTTCTAAAGTTTCAAACCCCCCAAAATTTTCATCATAGCTTTACTGCACTTTAACGTTGTTCTCGTAATTTATATTTTTGAAAATAAGGCTGTTCAAGAAAAACATAGACTGTCATGGTGTGGAAACTAAAAGTGTGTCAAACTTAAATAACAGTGAGCAAAAGTGTAGATATTACTTTGAAGAGCCTAACGATTGATTATTGCACCAACAGTGTAAATAATTAATTGTTAATGATTGATATTTTCAATAAAAGTAATCAGGTCAGTTTCCTACTGGCCCATGCCTACTGAACTGTCAAGTTGATCACATTCTTTCCTCTAAATGAAACTGCATGAAGTGTTTAAGCTTCCGCTCTTTAGTGTCCTTCTCTTTGTGTTGTGTGTATCCACAGAGGCAAGGCCACCTGCTTTGCATATGGACAGACAGGTGCAGGAAAGACTCACACCATGCTGGGTTCATCCCCTGCTGGAACCGGCTTATATGCTCTAGCAGTTCGGGACATTTTTGCTCACCTGTCTGCAACAAGCGCATCTCTACTGGTTTATGTCAGCTTCTTTGAAATCTACTGCGGCCAGCTGTATGACCTGTTGGAACACAGGAAAAGGTTATTGGTTTCAAAT